AAACCTTGCCTTTTTCTTAATTGCCTGGAAAAAGTATAGGCATTTGTCGCCTGATCGGCTTAGGAATCTCCCCAAGGCCGCCAGACAACCTGTTAACTTCTGAACCTCTCGGACGGTACGAGGCGACTGCATATCAATGACCGCCTGTACCTTCTCAGGGTTCGCCTCTATTCCTCTCTGGTTGATAAGGAATCCGAGAAATTTCCCAGACTCAACTCCAAATACACACTTCTTGGGATTGAGCATGACATGGTGCCGCCTGAGTGTGGCGAAAGTTTCTCGGAGGTCCGTCAGATGATCTTTCTGAAGTTTAGTCTTGACAATCATATCATCAATATATGCCTCGACGTTTCTCCCAATCTGATCAAAGAACACTGTGTTTATCATTCGTTGGAAGGTAGCCGGGGCATTCTTTAGACCAAACGGCATGACCGTGTAACAGTATAACCCCTGATCAGTGACGAAGGCCGTCTTCTCCTGATCTTTCTTCCATAAAGGAATTTGATGGAAACCAGAATAAGCGTCCATAAAACTCATCAAGGCATGGCCGGCTGTTGAGTCGACCAGGGTATCAATTTTAGGCAGAGGGTAACTGTCTTTGGGGCACGCCTTGTTCAAGTCTGTGTAGTCTACACACATTCGCCAGGTGCCATTCGGCTTTTTAACAAGCACCACATTTGCAACCCAATCTGGGAAGTAACATTGCCGAATGAACCCTGCATCAAGTAATTTTTTGACTTCGGCGGCTGCCGCCTGACCTCTCTCTTCACCATGGTTCTGCTTCTTTTGCCGTACCGGCTTCTTTTTCGGATCCACAGCGAGTTTATGTACTGCCAGATCAGGACTAATGCCTGGCATTTCATGGACTTCAAATGCAAAGATGTCCTTGTATTCTTTCAACAGGTTGTGAAAGTCATCCCCAAGGTTTCTCAGAGCAGTCGTCCCAACTTTGACTGTTCGGTCAGGACGGGAGTCGTCTAATATAAGGTCCGCATGCTCACCAGCCGGCTGAGGGCGGAACTCATCCGGTCGGTCCTCTGCCAATGATTGCTATTTTTTTGCTTTTCTTGCGGACTCTGTTTGGAGCGCCTTTCTTTTTTTGTCGCCTGTTTCTTGAACAGGCGCACTCTCCTTAACGTTGTCAAGGTCTGTTTTTTCTCCACTTGACCCAGTGGCCATGACAGTGGGCTTGACATCCGAGAGATAGCACTCTCGGGCCATCCTCTGATCTCCCCTTAGGGAGCCGACTGTTCCATTATCCCTTTCAAACTTAAGCAGCATAAGTGACGGGATTATAACAGCCTTGGAATTATTCAGGGTTGGTCGACCCAGAATCATGTTGTAGGCCGAGAGTTCCTCTACTACTAGGAACCGGACTACCATGTGTCGTCCTTCCCCTTTTTCGCCAAGGCGAATGGGTAGATCTACTCGTCCCAGTGGGTGGACGACTCCTCCTCCAAACCCTATTAAAGGGTGGGAGGCCGGATGTATGCAGTCCGTCTGATATTTCAGTTTTGACAGACATTTGCTGCTGATGAGATCTGAGGAGCTCCCGGTATCTATGAGGATTCGGCCAACTCTCTGGTTGGCCACTTTACATTCAATAACAAGAGGGTCGTCATGCGGCCCCCTTATTCCTCCTAGATCCTCTTCAGTGATGACAATCTCAGGAAATGTATATTTGGACGCCTGTTCTTGGTGAACGGAATTTACATCTAACCGCCTTATATTATCTTTGTTGCCCCTAATAGTGGGGCCGCCTCCTGAGAAGCCGCCTGCAATGGTGTAGACGACTGCATCATCTGTATCGGAACTGTCGGCCTGTTGATTCTTTTTGGCCGACTGCTTTTTTGAGGAAGTATTCCCCGTAGATTTCTTGACATAAGTGTCAAGATCACCTTGATCAGCCAAGCGGTCTAGGTACCGCATGAGACTGATGCAGTCATTGGTGTGATGACCAATGTCATCATGATAAGCACAGATTTTGTCTTGGTTCCGGTTGCTCGAAGAACCCTTCATGGGGAGCGGCTTCTCAATTGAGAGCCGTCCTTTTATTTCTTTTAGGATAAACTGGTTATCCTTGTTAAACACATACTTTGGGGAGTATGGTTTGAATTCTTTTTTCTTTTTCTGGGCCGGCTGTTTAGAGGAATCAGCCGCCCAGACCTCTTTTCTTTTTTCATCTTTGTTGGACGACTGTTTCTGTCGTCCCTCTCTTTTGTCGAACCTCTTCCCGTCCGACTGTTTCATCGTACACAGATCAGTCGCCTGTATATAGGCTTCTGCTTCAATCAAGGCCTCTTGAAGAGTCGCCACCCTTTTTCGAACTAAATCAAATTTGAAGGTAGACCCGTCTTTGAGACCTCTAAAAAAGTCAGTATAAGCTACCTCATCCGGTAACCCCTGAATCTGTATTCTCATCAGGTTGAACCGCCTGATGTAGGAACGAAGCCCCTCTTTCTCGCCCTGCTGAATTGTTCCCAAATCAAGGGTCGTTTTCTTCACAGGGATGTTCATTGCGAAGTTGGAGGCAAATAAGTAAGCAAGCGTCCTGAAGCTGTTTACACAACCAGTCGGCAGGTTGCCGAACCATTGCTGTGCAATTCCCTTGAGAGTCGCTGGGAAACATTTGCACCAAGTGGGATCATCCAACCCTTGAAGGTACATCAGGTTGGTGAATGCCATCAGATGGTCTTCTGGGTTAGTAGTGCCGTCATAGGCGCCTACTAGAACATTTTTTACTTTGGCCGGCTGAGCGGCTTCAGTAATTTCCTTGGAGAAGGCCGACGGCTGTTCACCAAGTCTAAGCAGCCGTAGCTGCCAGTCCATAGGTTGGACGTTTTTTGCTGCAGGTCCACCAAATGGAGGTGGCTGCATAAAATACTGTTGTTGCGGCACAAATGGTAAGTTTGGTACCGCCTGGGCACTATGAAAGCCGGACTGACGGGAGGTGCCGCCTGACTGACTCTCATGGTACGACTGAGTATGCCTCATCGAGGCATTTCGCAAACTGTCCTGAAAATTTGAAGTAGAAGCCGACTCTGATAATCGGTCACTCTTCTTCTGCTCTAGCAGGAGCCGAGCATCTGTGAACGTTTGCTTTGACCCGTCCGCCTGAATATGACGAACCGGTTTCCTATTTCCCGTAGGATAACGGAGTTTTGTGAAATCAAGAGCAGACGGCTCCCGCTTCTTGGATTTAGGATGGGGAGTCGCCTCTCGCCCTTGAACTGGCTTCCTCTTCAGTGAAGTGGAAGGTTTCTTGGCCGACTGCTCTTTGACTGAAGCAGGCGGTTTTTTGTTGATCAACTCTTGGATCTCTCCCTTGAAGTCCCTCATGAAGGTCATGAGTTCGTTCCTTGTGATGGGAGCAGACCCATCAGTCGGCTGTTGCCGAGCAAGCGGTGCGCCTGCTGGCTCGCTTCCTGTTTGAAGATGCTCCCGTTCCCTCCTTTCGGTATGACGGGTACGTCGGGCCCTTAGGGTCCCGTCTGGAGCTGTATGAGTTTCAACTTCAAATTCACTTTCGGTATCATGGTCCGACTGGACTTGAGGGTCGTCTAGGAGACGCCTATCTTCTGGAGTCGGTACAAACTTGGATGCCATCTCTGAAGTACTCTCCCCACAGACGGCGCCAAATGTTTCGGGGTTTTCTGATGTCCTGCGGGAGAGTTACAATTCCGAGACTGGAACCGGACGCCTGTACCTGCAAAATAACGGAGACTCCTGAGAGCTCCGCTCCAACGGTCAAGTTAGTACCTGATTAAGGAGTAATCAATACAGAAATTAAAGTAATGAGATCTCCCTAGGTGAGAGTGCTTAGTGTTGGTAATCTGCGTCGTTAGCGAGATTAGCCGGTTGTTAATAACTCTGTTCTTCTCTGCTTGATCTCTTGATTATTCTATTCTCTTGTGTGATTAATGAGAATTAATTAAGTATTTATAGCCTTGAGAAGCGTGCAACTCTCTAGGTTTAAGGTAAACCTAGGGCTGATCGGGCCTCTAGACTGGATTGGGCCCTGATGGCCGGTTTTCCCATTTGGCATGGGTGGACACGTGGCGTGTCTATAGTGGTCCGTAGAGGACGTATCTGTGACTGACACGTGGCAGGCTCCTGTTGTCCTTCGTGAAGGACACGTGGCGGAACCTGGTTGGTCCACTTGTCAGAAGGTGATTGGTGGATAAAAATCCCCTAATCAACGTCCATACTTTTGAACATTTGGTAATAAAATTTGAACAATCGCCTGTGGTCCAGCTATCCTAGATGGACCATGGTGCATAACAGTCTTATTGCCAAATTATGTGTTATTATGTAGCGATACAAACAAGCGAAAGTTTGAAGGAACATATCTTTACAAACAACCAAGTAAATTTTGGCCCAATTTGTAAGGATTATACCTTAGTGTGGGGATCAAGTCATCCTTTACCCTTACCAACTTCCAAAGAGCCATAAAAATAAATAAATAAATAAATAAAGTTTACAACCTTTTTTAAAAAATTTCTTTTTTTTAAAAAAAAAAAAATTGCAAATACTTTTATCATCACCAAATTCTACCTTTTCTAAAGAAAGAATATAAGAAAAGTCTTGATGTATTTGCCTGGAGTGTTTTAAATTTACAGCATAATCTTATGAATGATTACCTTCCTGCCTTATACACATGGTGAGAAGTATTTGTTCAAGTGGTACCACAATTGCTTAACCCTATTAGCATATTTATAAAGTTACTTCATTGAAGTAATTAGTATATAACACGGTAAAATTAGTATAAAGTTTACCGTTCTAATAAAATAAACAGACAGCAACCAGAATGATTGGGACAACTAACAGACGAGTAACACTTATTAAGGGGTCTTAAACTAATTTAGCAACAGATGATCTCTCCCAACATGTTTACCTTTGTCATATTAAACCAAATATCATAGTGCGCCACCAAGCTCTCTTGATAGGGAATCATAGATTCATAGAACTAAAAAAAGCAAAGGTTATAGCAGCTGAGCAGATGAATGGTACGCTACCAAAACAAAATTTGATTCTATTTCATGTCTCACATAACAATAGAAGTATAAAGCCCGTGTCAACCTTCATTACGTCACCAAACAGGAACCTAAGGCAATACATTTGTTACCCTCAAACCTCATCTAAAGACTAAAGCATATGCATCTCCCCAATTTTATTTTCTCATCACTATGTTGACCCAAAAAAGATAGATTACAATTAGATTACATAACACTGATATGCAGCAAGGAAAAGGCCTATTCTTGGGAAAAGGGATTGATCAAGTTTTGGATGAAGCTTCTTTTCGACCAATAATGATTCAGTGGAGGCTGAGGATTTGATAGATACCAATCAGGTGTTAGTGAAAAAAAATAATCAGGTTGCACTGTTGAGCTTAATTCTGACTTCAATAATGCAGAAAAGATCCACAGGCAACAGCATAGCACCTTAGACATGAAATCCTCCAAAGTCACCACCAGGAAAGCCTCCTTCGAAATGAAATGTATACTGCTGTCCTCCACCACCACCACCAAAAGGATCAAATCCACCAAATCCATAACCACCGCCGCCCATTCCCATGCCTTCTTCATCCTCTCCTCTGTCATATCTTACACGTTTTTCTTCATCCCCTAGAACCTGCAAGAGCAAATACCACAATTGAGGTTCTACAGACAAGTAACACACATCATGAAACAGCTCAATTGACGGGTCAAAATCATAAGCAGCAGCATATGACCGGAGGAGGGGAAAAAAATTACTGAAGCTGAACGCCTGTTTGGTAACTGGTTATAAATATAAACAATGGTACTGGTAATAAATTTGTGTGTAAATTTGGTTAGAAAATCAATATCCATTCCCATGAACACTTAAGATGACCCCTTGAATTATCTATTTATCTTCACAAATTTTCAAGTTTTCTACTAATACCACCTCTAAAGTTCTAATGGATGGTAATGGAAAAATTATTTTAAAAATGTCATGGAGATTATAAGTTGTTTTCCATACTACATTACAGTTATAATTCATTCCTATCACCGCAATTTTTTACTAGCTACCAAAAGCAAGGTTTTTAAATGACTGATAATCTAAACTTTAAAGTTGTTATGCCACTAGCCCACTACTTATTGGCATTATTGCACACTATAATACGGAGTACCTCATAGCAGTTTGAAGACTTTGTACACTATAGCTCACAGCCTCACCAATACAATTCTCAAGGGCCCATTTACTAGACAGCTTCTAGACTTTGATACATAATAATCAAGCAACAGTCACAATGAAACTAATTAGAAATCTGTAAATATCAAGAAGACAATGACAAAAAGCAAGCAATGTGGAAATACATCATTCAGATCAATACATCATTCAGATCAATACATCATTCAGATCAATACATCAATGTGTAACTCATTCAACCAAACCAATGAGCTTAATAAATTGTCACATTCAAGAAATTGAAGAGAACGGTCAGCCTCATGCTTGTGATAAGCATAAAAACTAACATTGTCACTATCTGTTAGAAGCTTTTCTACCTAATCTAATCTATACTACCTTTAATTATAAAATGACATCACTTTTTTTTTGCAATTACAAAACATGGTAATGAGCGGTCAACAAAGGGTATCAATGCAAGTATTATAAAAGTGGGATGAGGCATACTCTAATATACACAGGGAATAATCAGATACCACAGATAATTTAAAAATAAAAAAAAAGACAAATATGTCAAAAGACACGATTAATGCACCTCATCACACAAGTCTATATCACTTTAAACAAATAAGGATGCCTGGATACTATCCTTGTATTTTAACAGGAAACACTTGAAGGGATTGACAGTGTACATTGGATTCTCTAAATGGAATAAACACTTAAAAGACTCAAGTAACTTAGAAAACAGAATTGAGAAGGTCCCAAGCTAAGTCGTACATGAATCACATTGAGCGTATCAACAAGCTACACCTTGAACTATAACTAATGAACTGCTGTCTATACAGGGGAAGGCATGTAACGATGCAAGTAGCATCACAGGTAAACTTCAAAGCTTAAAAATTAAAAAATTTGCTACACTCTTCGGAGAACTAAGTTTGGTGATAACCTCAAGGTCAACTTTGAAAGCAAGTAAAAACACTCAGTAAGAAATTGGTAATATTGATATCCCATTGTAAACAAACACATACACACAAACAAAAATAATAAACTACTGTAACAAATTAAACAAACACATAAACACAAACAAAAATAATAAACTACTGTAACAAATTAAACAAACACATACATACAAACACTAACAAAGGGAATGTATTATATAAACATGTTAGTAATCCCATTATAAAAAATCAAAAGCTTCTTTTGCAGTATACTATCAAATTTTACACTTGGTAAGATATGTTGTTGCTTATGAGTGTTAAATCGGCTCCCTTGATTAGGGCAGTGGGAAGGAAATAAATACGAACCCACCGAAGGAAACGAAAATATGGTTAAATAAAACATTGCCCCTCTGAGGGCTCTGACTCAAAATGAAAAGGTAAATAAAGTTCTGTATTGTATCCAACTACTAACCCGCATAGTTATTTCAATTTATTGTTTGAATCTTAGAGGCATTAGAGTTATCGGCAACATGTGCATAAGCACACATGTATTGGGCATATTCACAGCCATGGCAGAGAAGGTGGCACCAATCAAGCTTGTCACAATAGCTAAAGAAATAAGTTTGCTAAATGATCATCAAGCTCACAGCAGTAGCTTAACAAGTGGGCTTAGCCACTAAAAACCGCATTGAAATAGATTACTATGAATATAATATTGGATGTGTGCTATTAGAAATAGTACTAATGGATGAACCCTTAGCCAACTCATAAATCTAACTCGCAATGAGGAGCATATATTGATGGAAAATTTATTGTTGTCTAAGAGGCTGATTAAAAAAAAAAAAAAAAGTAAATCAGAATCATCAAGAGATCAAAGAAATATTGCACAAAGTCAAACCTCGTATGCAGCCGCAATTTCTCGAAATTTGTTCTCAGCTTCTTCTCTATTTTCAGAATTCTTATCTGGATGCCACTGTAAAGCAAGTTTCTTATAGGCACGTTTAATCTCTGCAACAGATGCAGTTTTAGAGACACCCAAAATTTTGTACCAGTCTTTTCGTTTGCTCAACTTTAGGGCATTCTCAGCTCTCACTAGTGCTTCTCTGATGCTCCTGTCCTGTACATTGGGCACAAAATAGTTCAATATATAAAGACATGAAACTAGTTGATAGAGTTAACACAAGTTATATTCTAACTAAACCATGCCTCAGAACTTCAGCAGATAGCATTCATAGCAAAGATATTAGATCAATACAGATCGTATTCATATATATACTGCTACATCACCAAAAATTCAATCACAGACTCTACCCAGTCATAAATCAGTACGGCTGTAACTGCAACTTAATATTACAAACACTTTAATTAAATAAATGATTAGATTTGTTGATACAGTAAGCTCAGTTTATTCAAGAATTCCTTCTACTGCTAACATTTCAGATATTAAAATCATGCAGCAAAAAAGTTCTAAAACATCATCTCAGTAAAAGAAAAATGTACTGTCCAAACCCAACACCTAATCTAAATTCAAGCTCAAAGAGCTGAGGGAAAGAGATTAAAAGAGCAAATTGAAAAGAAAAAGGAATGGAATATCAACGAATCAGATGCTGTAAAAACCAAAGCAATAAGGATCAACGATTCACCAATTCTATTGTCAAAAATATGTGCAGCAAACATATGTAATAGATACTAATAGACACCGCAAAACTATAAAAGTTATCCAAGACAGCCAACCTGGGATTTTTGAGCTGCATTTTTAAGATCTTCCACTGCCCCTTCCCAATCTTCCACCAAAAGTTTTGCTTCACCCCTCTGAATAAGTCACATCAACATTATCAGAGAAATTATGAATTCACTGATCAGATCTCATTTAATCAATCTGGTTAGGTTGCTATCATCCCATAATTTATTAAGCTTACAAGTAAAATTTAGTAACTGCAAGTGAATGCTAACCTGTACCAAAGCCTCAACAAGCTCTTCATCAATGTTTAAGACTACCGTGCAGCTATTCACAGCATCTTTACCTCTACCCAGTTTCACCAACACCTTACACAAACCAAGATGAAGATGCACATTATGTGCAATATGAACTGGGTCTAGAGCAAGAGCTGCTTTATAGTCCTCCACTGCAAGACGCAATTTACCTTTCTCTACATTTGTTTCTGCCTGCGAGAAGCAATTGGTCAAACATCAATCAGTTAAACTGAAAAGGAAAATAACATGAGTGTCAAATGATGCAAAACCTCCCTGACTCCCACCACCAAAAAAATAATAATTTAAAAAAAAAAAATCATGCATGGACATTGTTTTAGCCGCATACACTCTCTGTCTTCTTCTGCAACTTTTTCAATCCAAAATATGCTTTCTTCAGTTCGCTATGCTCTGGATCTAGGCGAAGTCCTTTTTGGTAATGTCTAAGAAAACAAAAGGAAAGACAAATTACGAATTTTAAACTTAATATAAGACATTACACATGTAATCATAAATTTTTGTCCAAACCTCATGGCCACATCATGATCTGCTAAATAGTAATAGGCACGACCTCTAACCAACAAAGCGTCAAGGTTGTTCTCATCTTCTTTGAGAATATAACCAGTCTCAGCGATAGCACCTGAATAATCTTGTGATGCCAACAACAATTTTACCTTCAGAAGTTTAGCCTGCCACATCATTAAGGTAGCTTTATTAAACAAGTTCCCCAAATATTTGAAAATCTTGATAGACTTGGTGGATGATATATAAATTTACAAAAATAAATGAAAAATAAAAGAAAAGAAAAAAATTAACACCTTTGAGCATGCAGGAGAGAAAACAAGCACAACTTTGTCAACATACTCCAATGCTTTCTTAAGATCTCCTGAATCATACAGACCAGAAGCTGTTTCCAGAGCACTTCGAGCTTGATGCAACTGAGAAAGCTCCTTTTCAGCAGCTGCATTTCCAGACTTGAGTTCTAGATACTTATTATAATTGACCTCTGATTCTTCATACCTACATTTGACAGATGACTCATCAAGAATAGAACTCATGAGTTCAAGTATCTTTATTTAACAAAAATCTCATACTGATAAGATTGGAAGGGAAACAAAATAATGCATCAGGTAGAAAATAACAAAATAATGCATCAAGAATAGAACTCATGAGTTCAAGTATCTTCATAGTTTTCTTCTCTCATGATTAGTGTAAAGGTTTTCATCTACTTGCCAAAAAATACCTTAATAATAAAAAGATAAATACGTGGAAAATTGGATAATCCTCATTTATGGTGGCTAAAAATGTAAAGATGATACTGTAACAGGTAACCTGTCGGCAGGTGGAAAGGGGATGTTTGGCACTTTTGGCAAAGCCCATTTCCCAGAGCCTGGGAGTGAGGCGCGCCCGAGGCGCGCTTTTTAAAACCAAGATACAAGACTTGAGCAGCAAGGCAACAACTAGGAGATTCCTACTCTGCTACGAATAGAGTTCTTCACAGAATTTAGTTTTATTTTTAGTAGATTAACACACAGTTTACTAATTCCCTTAAAGAAAGCATTTTACGTATGCAAAACATTTCTTATGATTATCCTAAACTCTGTTGTCTTTCTGTCATATTTAGAGCTCCAAAGGTATGTTGTTAGAATATACAGCTAACATGTATTACTACTCCTTATAATTATTCAACTTGTGTGATTAAAGATGTTAAGTTAAAGTTTACTTTAAAACATGTATGAGAACCCGATATAGTTCAAGCCTGGTCGCTTGCATTTCAGATGGCTGTTTTTGATATGTTTGATCATAACTGTACTGTTCAGTTTTGATTCATTTTATTTACAGCTAAGAAACTCTTAACCCGGTTTTTGGTTGGTCTATTCGATTACACTATTTCCTATCCTAATCACAAGATTCCAATTCATGAAATTTAGGCCATAAAAAATTATCTTCCAAAATATATCTGTTATCTTAAAAGAAAAAAGTATGAGAAATTTGACTTTGATGTAGAATTGTTAGCCACAACGTAACATATAGATTATAAGGTACATGGCTTGATGGCTTTGCCACTTCACAAAAATATTAGTCTGCCAACATTTTTTGGAGCTTCATGAAACTTGACTCATTAACATTTAACAGCAAGTATATATGCTTTACTACAGTCACTAGTTCAAACGGTTCACGGAGGTTACGCAATCTGTATTTATGCCATTGCAAAAGATTACTTTTTAATGCTTTTGTAACAGATTGTAGTGATAATTTTAATCTCATGCCTCAATTTTATCACAGATCACAAATTCATATCCAATTATATACATAATCATTGTGAAAGATATGCATAAACACAACAAACTTCAAGTACTGGTCCGTAAGACCGCCGAATGAATCACAAACTACAAGACTAGCTGTTTGTTCAGCAAAATAATAAAAACTGAATTTAGAAAATTTTCAGAGAAAAAAATATAACAAACCTGCACAGCTGACGAAGGATATTTGCCCGTCGTGAATATGCCTCCGAGAGTGTTGGATCTGCCTCAATAGCAGCATTAAGATCCTCAAGTGCCTCACTATAATGTTTCACTTTTATACTTTGTTCAGCCTTTTGCAGTAAATCATTTGCTTTCACAGGAGTTCCATCTGCATAGCAGGGATATGAGCATCAGGTACATTGTACGTAGCAATAGGAAAAAACAAAAACCACTATTGACTTCAAACACTGACAAGTCAAAACAGATCGTATACGGGCTACAATTAGTAAATTTTCTTCATAATTTTAACACTGCTTTTTTAACTTTTAATTGAAGGATTTAGAAATTCTTAAATTGAAAATACTAGTATTACATATGGCAACAAAATATGTTACTCTCTGAGGTGTGTTAGGCTCTGAGTTTAAATTTACCAACAAGATACCAAAGTTAGAGTATGAAACTATCCTCAAAAGCATAACCTCTAATTAGGTTTGACAATACAACTTCGCTAAGGCAGTGCTTGATGATTGTGTAAAATCAAAGAACAAGAGGTGCAAAGTGGTAGATACAATTCTATGAACAAATACTCCAAACCCGATAGGATCTGTATACACTTTCATTCGTGAAGTCCTATGATAAAACGACGATACAGAAAATTAAGCCACCCCATAATTATGTATGAACTATGAAGTATAACTTATAAGTCATCATAAAAATAGCATAGCAAAATTCATCTCACCAGCTCTTAAAACTCACCCTAAGAGCAACCAAAAGTAACCTTATTACTATGTAAAAAGCGTTATTAAACAACATTCTTGTAATATATATTGCAAAATACAAGTACATCTTAATTATATATACACAATGTTTAAGCAGCACAATATATCAAAGCAAAATTCGTTCTTTTGATCCCAGAAAACCCGAGAAAGCCATAACGAATAACGATAAACGAAGATCAATCAAACCAACACAATGTCGACCACAACCCATTGTAATGCCGAACTCATAACCACAAATACTTGAATTTAGCTAACCAAGTCCAATGTATTTCCAAAAAGAAACTTTTTTTTTTTATTTCGGCAGTTAATAATCGTGACATTTAATAAATAAATTTGACATATTGCGGACAAAAGCACACAAAAAATTAACGAAAAAATTGGATTATGAACCCTAAAATTAAGCACCGCTACCACACTCAATCAAGTGAAGAACACAAATTCAACAAAAATCCTTTTAACTAATCAAAAAAAAAAGGGAAATTTACCTGAAGCAGAAACAAGAGGTTGAAGAAGAAGAAGGTGACAAGCAAGAACAAAGTTGAGGATAAAAATGGTGAAGATGAACCCTCTCCAAGCAACCATATCAATGGAGAAAGGGAAAATACGATGAAGATTAATCATTCAAAAAGATCGAATATTCGAGCAAATTTCTGCAGATTTTTAGTTTGTGAATCAAAGATTTGTGATGGATTTGTAAAGTTTGATTAGAATTAGAATTGAATTGAGATTTCCTGGTAATTTTGGGTTGTCAGGGAGGAAGAAAAGAAAGGCGGGGGAGGATTCGAAAGTCCTTGGTGGCAGTCCACGTTAATGTAACCTATGGGTGATTGCCACCTGGATATTTTTTCGCAAATCATTACCTTTTATGAAAAAAAAAAGTTTGGCCCTAAGAAGCTGCCACGTCGACATAGATCTAGAACTAAGGGATTTTTTTTTTTTTAACGGCTAAGAGAAAAAAATTAAGTGATACACTTTGATGAATGTGTAATTTTATTGACCTGAGCGAATTTTCTAGAATAATACGAAAATGTAAATTATTCTCTTATTTGCATTGGAATAAAAAAATAATTGGAAAATAATTTTGTGAAAAATTATTCTATGGAGGGAAATCATAATGGTAATAGCATATAGAACCTCCAATGTACTAGCAGTTCTAAGTTGAATTTAATAAATAAATAAAAAGTCTTGTTAAAAAAAATTATAAAAAGAAAAAAATTTCATAACACCGTAATAAAATATAATAAAATGACAGTTACAAACAATTCTTAGAAAATCTAAAATTTCAACTTAATAACAATTCACCTTAGAACTAATTAGTTAGATCGCATATTCGATTAACATTCTCCATAATAAAAATACAATAGAAAAAAAATTCATCTAAAGCAATACAATTTATGAGTTAGAACTAATTCGGCTTGAGATTCACTGATAAATAGTTTTTTCAGTGAAAATACTTATATGGTATCTTCTAGATACTTCCAAAATGAAACCCTAAATCTTCAATCCACGACAAGTGAACAAATAAAGAAATTAAATTAAGCCTAGCTAACATAGTAACCACCATCTTAAAGATGGAATCCATTTATTGAAAGCAATTAAAATTTTTTTACGGCTTATCACTGGTGGAAGCCATGACAAATATTCACAATTGAGACCAGTAGAAATTAGATGAAAGAGAAAGAAAGAAAGGGAGAAGAGTGAAGGAAAACCTACAAAAACACACAAAAAAATATTATAACAATGGAATCTAGAAACACCCTCTCAATGCAAGGAAGAAACCCTTGAGGGAACAAGTAAAACCCTCCAAATCCTAGAGGGAACTCATCCATTACTTTTTTTTTCTTTTTATACCAAAATGTACCTAATTACTCTGTATATTTTATTGCTTACTCATGCACTATATGTACTCTTATACTCATCAGTATAATTCAAGCTTTCCAACATTCTCTTTCTCATAACTTTATCATGGTAGCATGAGCTATTGATCCATTTTTTCCCCTGCTTCCGCTACTACATCTTTATCATATCCATGGCTACACCCTTAAAACTATTTTTCGTCACTGACAAATGATGGTGACCATACTCGCGCTCCCTTCTCGGTCTCTCAGAAAGCTTAAACTCAAATCAAACTTTTGCTCAACTTTTTTTGGCTCCCGACTGTATTTCATATACTAAGAGATGCCAATCAGCGGTTGTAGACACCTATTTGTGTCTCCCCAAAACCAAACCCGGTGATGAGTACCTTTCACGTCGAATCATAATCGAATGAAGTGAAAGTGTGGAAAGTTTAGTGTTGCGGATAGTTTTAATTTCTTTTCTCTTCTCCCTGTTTTGAAAAACCTATTTTAAGAAAACATCCAATCCAGTTTGGTTGGTACATGATATAGGTCCAATAATAGTGTAGTTGGATAGGGTTTGAAAAGACCTTTCCGACGATATGTTATAAGGCCAATTCCGATGAATATTGAGGAAGTTATGGCCAATTTACCAAACTGGGCCCGGTTTGAGCCTTATATGCGACCCAATGATCTAGAGGAGGGCCAAATATAGATTTATCATTCCTAATGCAATTAGGAATGGTTTTAGTCTTCTAGATTCTTCTAGAAGATTCTTTTCATTCCTAATCGAATTAGCATTGATAAATTGACTTTTGTTGACTTTTAGAGTTTTAATCAGAATAAAAGAATGTTTTTGAGGAAAATACGATTTTATCCTCCCGTACGGTCAATTTCTATTTGATTTTAAGAAAACGCGTCAATTTCTTAGTCAGTGTCAGGCGCTAAGCCAAACGCCAGCATTAGCGCCTGACGCTAAACTTGGCGCCTGGCGCTAGCGTTAGCATTTGGCGCCTGGCGCTAGCGTTAGCATTTGGCGCTAATCTTGGTTTTACGCGTCAGAACTCTATTTTGATTTTTATCTTTTTGGTTGATTTTCTCTATAAATAGCGTTCTAAAAACTCCGTTTTCATTCACAAATTCTTCTCACCAACTCTCATCAAGATTCTCTTGATTACTCTTTCTCTCTTTTCTAAACTAGCTTTTTCACAAATATAAAAATTCCGCATTCATTAGATTTAGAAGCACCTAGCATTGTTCGAAGTTGCCTTCGCCCTAGACGTGAAAGGTTTAATTTCTGAGGGTTTGGACCCAAATCTCTTTTTCAATTATTTAAATTAATTATTGTTTATTATTTTCCTTGAAGTTACTAACGTGTGTATTAGAAAGAGGTACGAGGCATCCAAGTAAGTGCTTTAATTGATTTATTGATATTATGATATAGAAATCATGCTTAGGTTGTTATTATGATTCCTAGTATCATGTTAGGATGTTTTTCTTAATTTGATGTTTAGGGTGACAACACTAAGTTCCTAGTATCATGTTTAGGGTAAAGAATATAATGTCAATTATGATTTCTGTGATGCCTTTTATTGTCTTTCCTAATATTCATGTTAGTATCATTCTAGGGCTAAAGCTTTGATTTTTATTGTTTAGTGACATGCTAGGGTTTGTTATTAATCTTGTTAGTATCATGCCTAGGATCTTGCTATTATTATGCTTTAACATGATTATTATTATTATTATTATTATTATTATTATTATTATTATTATTATTATTTAATATTATTATTATGTTGCTTGATATTATTATTTATTGTTATTGCTTGATCACACCATTTTATGCATGTTTAAAGGGAATTGATACTTGTAATCACGCTTAATAAGATAATTAATAATCTTGTTTAGGGTTAATATGATTATAATTCAAGTGACCGCCAATAATAGATTTATTTGTGCATTATATTCAACCAACATAGATAAACAGGTTTAGGGTTAATCCTATTGATTGCATGTTAGTCAAAAAGCGCACATGAATACGATCAGAATAAAGTAGAGGCCTATTATTTAGGGCAGGTTCAATCTCTTTTATGTTGGATTTGTACCTTCATCCCCGAACCCTATTTGGTTCAAGACCTTATGGAGTTGACAATCTCTTGGATCGTTAAGGGGTGTAACCTTCACCTCGTGAATGGTTTACAAGTTCCTAAAAACCTTGTTGGCGACTCTTTTGCTCTATCTTCTTTCCCTTTGGACGCCACCGTACTTTAGTGTATGATCACAGTGGGGTTCAAGTTAGGGGATTAACGCTTGAAATATTCCCTACATCGGTCTTTTTATTTTTTTTTTTCTCCAAACCCCTTATGAAGCAACAATCACTTTTTAGCCCCAATTGGTCCGTAGTCTATCTATCGAGTGTTGCCAAATATAAACTCACTTTTTCAAACTTTAATATACGGAAAAACTCAAACACCTCAGTTTCAATGATGATAATGTAATTCTTCACCTATGGGAACAATTAAAATTGCATCTCCTTCATCTATATCTCAAAATTTTTTCCCCTTTTAAAAAGAAACGGGTTTTTCACCATATATACTAAGTTTTTTTTTGTTTTTTTTACGATATACCACTAAAAAATTTCAAATTCATCATATACTCCTGAGTTCTTACAAAAATTCATTATATTCCCCTAATGACAACAAAATGAGTGGAATTTGATTAATTCTTGAAACCACTTCTCTTTTGTCTTCAAATCTCCAAAATCACTTCAAATATCCAAAACCTTATCTATATGATTGATTTTGAGGATGAGAAAAGGAAATTTTGGTGGTTATGGGGGTGGGCAAATGTAATGTAGGTGATTTTAATGGTAGGGGAATGTAATTAGGTTGGTTTCGGATCATAATAAACCATAATGTTGACGAAGTTAACAATCATTAGTCATCAAGGGTATATATTGGTGTATTTTTGTGAAAACACAGAGGTATACGATGACTTTAAAAAAGTTCAGGGGTATATGGTGAGTAAACATAAAATTCAGGGATATGTGGTGAAAAAACCGAAAAAGAAAAACAAGGAAAACTGACTCCTACATTTCTTCACGCAACTTCTACATACAATATATATATATATATATATATATATATATATATATATATATATATATATATATATATATATATATATATATATATATAAAATAAAATAAAATAAAAATAAGAAAATTTTAAAATCACCACCCAATAATGTAACCATTTTTGAACTAATCACCTGTTTATTTTTTTATTTTAAATTACCACCCCTTAAATTAAATAAATTCTCAAATTACCACCAATTTCAAAAATCCGGTGGATTTTCCGTCTGTGAGACCCACTTAACGCTTATTTTGACCCATATGACTGATTTTCCCCTATTTTTCTCTTTAAAACGCTCTCCTAACTTCAATTCACATTTTTTCTCTTTGAAATTTGGTAGGATTTGGTGAAGGAAATGTGAATTAAAGTATAGAGAGCGTTTTTAAAGAGAAAAATCAGGGAAAAAAACAGTCAAAAGGGTCAAAATAAGTGTTAGGTCAGGCCTACAGATAGAAAATCCACCGGATTTTTAAAATGGGTGGTAATATGAGCATTTATTTAATTTAAGGGGTGGTAATTTAAAATCAAAAATAAAACGGGTGGTTAGCTCGAAAATGGTTACATTTTTGGGTGGTAATTTAAAAATTAACCTAAAATAAAATAAAATAAAAAGAAAACTTGAGACATAATATATATAAATTAAATCATCAAACATAAAAAAGAGAGACAATACTTTGTATAATGTTTTACTCTTATTTTACCAATTTTCATTTTTGTCGAAGAGATTAGTCAATTATATCCTCATGTTCCTAACTTTCGTCGCGGTCTCTCGTATTTGTCTCGACTCGATTGTTGCATTTGTTACTTCAAATTTACTAACGG